TCCTCTTTTGGAAGGCCAAACAAAGTAGTTTCGCTTTCACAACAAAACACACAGCGCCTTCACGACATGGCGGCAGCAGCAACAACAATACTACAGCGAGAATAAAAGTTCTGCCTTCTTTCTTTGCGTGAACATTTGGGCGGCGTTATGCAAATCTTCCCACATCGTGACGTAGACATGTGGGGGCGTGTTAGAACGAGGCGTTTTAGGTAGGAGTGGTTGACTCTTAACTTTTATAAAGAATATCTCTTTGGATTTGAGACTTTAGTCTTTGCAACTTTACAGATCTTCTTTATGCACCAAGAGCTTGTAACACTCAAAGAGAAAGGAAAAATTTAAATTGCATCATATGACACCTTTAATGGCCATTGTCACTCCCTCGCATACAGCTTTTCTATCACAAAACATGTCTTACAAAATTTAAATCAATATATTGTTTTCTGTGAATGAGTAAACAGGATGATTTTCACGCCATTTTGACGTAAATATTCTAGCCTACAAGACTGATTACTCAAAAGTTTAATTCAGAATTACTCAGTATGGGTTTTATGGCCGTATTTCAGCTACATTTCTTTTTTCAAAACTTTCTAACCAATAGTCAATAGTATAAGTAGCTGAAATAAGCACAAATGTCAGGGCATGTCAAAACATCTCAAGGGCCCCAAAATCACCTCAGACCCCAGAGGGTTAAGGAACTTTCATCTGTGTGTTCCAGATTAAAGCCCGAAACACACTGCAGGATTTTCAGCTGTCCCAGATGAAAGATTGGCATCGTGAAACAACCGTGGCGATTTCTGTGATTGTGGCTCCTAATCGGTGGTCCTGTGTCATACAGTGAGAAAGGTTCAAAGACGGCTGTTGTCATGGTCTTGCGACCAAAGATAGCCTGCGATCATTTTCTGACAGTGCCAGAAATTCAGCATGATCATCGTACAGTGTGTTTGCTGGTATGATCCACATTTACTGACCAGCCAATAAAAATGCGACATGGTACCAATGCGACATGGTGGCAAAACATAAAACTGCTTACCTCAAGCACTTATGCCTTCCTCTTTCGTCGCTTCAACTTTTTATCTGCATACATAAAAACTGCTAAAGTGTGAGTCAGCATGCTCTTTTTGTTTACCACTAGCGCATGCTGATGACGTTTTAGTCTTCTATAGAAGCGTGCGTCGTAGCCTACGAGTCATTAGATGTCATCATCGTACAGTCTACATGTCGTGCACAAGTTCATTAGATCCACGTCGCACAGTGTGATCTGTAATGATCTTATAGGATTGCTAAAATTGTGCAGTGTGTAGAAGGCTTAAGGACCATTTTAGTGCTCCAGGAGATCAGCATTCCACAGCACTACGAGTTCAAGGTTGTTGAAACAGATTCCTGCTTCTTTCTTCACTACATTGTTACCCACACACAACCAGTGGAAAAAGTCACTGCAGACTTCTCACTCGACTACTTGGAACATAAACAGCAACTTAATCAAACCTCTTTCCAGAGACCTTGGCATTGTTGTATATTATCAGTATATGATTTTCTAATTTACATCAGATAGCTGATGTCAGTTAATAACAAATCATCTTTAATTTGTTTGTTTGATGCATAATACGTTTCTTCACCTTATTTTCCGAGAAGCAACAGTTTATCATTATTCACTTTATTTCTTTATCGTTCATAGTGTTCATTTAGTAGTTGTATTGATTACTCTTGCTTATCTTTTGTTAATAACCTTTATTTTATTACACTTGTGTCCTCCTTGTGTTGATAATACAGTAAGAGGCTCTACAAGTTAATGATATTGCACCTTAAGTGAAGTGTAAACCAAAAATCAGAACATCATCCATCACTTACGTGAGTACCAATCAATACAATGCCCTAGTGAGTCCATTAACAAGCTCTGTGTTGGGCATTATAATATCATAAGTGTGAGATCACAGTTATTTTTGCACATTTCTTGGTTTCTGTGGGTGTATTGTGTAATGTGTATGTGGCCGTGTCGGGTGGAGACAATAAAATACTTGTATGTGGAGGTTTTAAGGATTTGGATTGTGGTGAATTATGTCACTCTTGGAATGTCTAATTGTGATTCTACCCTTCAATCCTTTAATTCTATCCTTTTTGCATGGCTGATCTGTAATGTAGAACAAGTCTGTCCTGTGTTCTTTAGCAAACACTGTATTTAGAACTTAGAACACAACTGTCATGCCAAAGCAAAGAAGAAAATTGGTTCACATTTCATCGGTTTCTCCTCAGTGAACATCGTTATTTTATCCTTGATAGTTGAAACATACCAACTACCTCAAACACCTACTGTACACTCTCAGAAAAAAAAAAGATATAAAAGCTGTCATGGGGCGGTACCCTTTCAAAAGGTACATCTTCGTACCTTTTTACCCCTTAAGGTTGTATATTAGTACACTCTTAAAAATAAAGGTGCTTTTATAATATCATAAGTGTGAGATCACAGTTATTTTTGCACATTTCTTGGTTTCTGTGGGTGTATTGTGTAATGTGTATGTGGCCGTGTCGGGTGGAGACAATAAAATACTTGTATGTGGAGGTTTTAAGGATTTGGATTGTGGTGAATTATGTCACTCTTGGAATGTCTAATTGTGATTCTACCCTTCAATCCTTTAATTCTATCCTTTTTGCATGGCTGATCTGTAATGTAGAACAAGTCTGTCCTGTGTTCTTTAGCAAACACTGTATTTAGAACTTAGAACACAACTGTCATGCCAAAGCAAAGAAGAAAATTGGTTCACATTTCATCGGTTTCTCCTCAGTGAACATCGTTATTTTATCCTTGATAGTTGAAACATACCAACTACCTCAAACACCTACTGTACACTCTCAGAAAAAAAAAAGATATAAAAGCTGTCATGGGGCGGTACCCTTTCAAAAGGTACATCTTCGTACCTTTTTACCCCTTAAGGTTGTATATTAGTACACTCTTAAAAATAAAGGTGCTTCACGATGCCATAGAAGAACCTTTTTGTCTAAATGGTTCCATAAAACATCTTTAACATCTGAAGAACCTTTCTGTTTCACAAAAGGTTATTTGTGGCGAAAGAAGGTTCTTCAGATTATAAAAAGATAAGAAAGAGATGGTTCTTTAAAGAACCTTTGACTGAATGGTTCTTTGTGGAACCAAAAATGGTTCTTCTATGGCATCGCTTGAAGAATCTTTTGAAGCACCTTTGTTTTTAAGAGTGTACTTTGAAAGTGCATATTAGTACCTAAAGTGTACCTATTAACAACTTTAAAATGAGTGTTTTAATAGAGTGAAATAGCACAACTTTAAAGAATGACTCAAGGCTAATTTATTTATTTAGTGACTTTCATGAAGCGACATTTATTACAGGTTCCACTGTAGTGCCATGGTAATAACCACTATAAAAAATTAAAGCCTTCTAATACCAAATTATAGTAACCAATATAACAAATTAAACATTGTTGTGAAATGGCTGTGGAAATTTTAGTCTGTCATTTGGCCTTGCGTTGTAATTAGTCACAAGTGGATTTGGGTGTCTATGCAACCCTGATCTTATTCACCCTATACACAAATAAAGATCCGAGTGCATGAGAGAATGACTGGTAAATTATTGACTACGAATCGAAAATATGTGTCTGTGGCCTACTAACAAAAGTTAGAATACAGGATATAGAAATAAGAATTAGGGTGGGGTGGAAATTTGAAGCACTCTTATGTGCTCATCTGTTTGTTTCCAGTTCTGAGAGCTGTGTGTGTTTTTCTGAATGTGTGAATGTGTTCTTCATCTATTTGTCCTCATTGATTTGAACTATCCAAAATGAGTTACGTTTGATTCATTTTAAAAAGACGTTATTTTGTATGAAAAATTTTAAAACTATTTTAACGACAAAATATTTTAATTTGTCTTGCATATATTTTTTTTTATCAAATCAGATAACTTTTTAAGCTGTTAATGGGGCATGTTGTCACATTTCACTTTAATTCAGGGTAAATAAAGAAAAAAGTATACACTGTTTTAGAGAAACAAGATCACATGGACATGGGAAATAATGTGGAAAAAATCCTCAGAACCTGAAGTAGACTTACACAAACTGAAAAAGTGTTATGTTTATTAATAGGAATGACACAAATCTGGATTTATGCAGTTTAAATTGCATTCAGACGTTCCAAATTTGGTAGAGAATTACTAACTCCACAGAAAATGAATATAAATGAATCGGTTACTGAAAAGAAACAGAATCAGATTAATGCCTCTGTGGTCACTCTGTAGAGTGAAAAGCAAAACAGGGTAGAGTCTTCCCGGTATTTCTGCTTTTTTTTTTGGCATTCTGTATTTTTTTGAAAACACTATAATAATAGCCTACAATATAACTGAGTAAAACAGAATATGTTGGGGACTTTACCAAATATGCATCAGTGTTACGACATCCATAATGCATTGAGAAGTTTTTAGTTCTCAGTGCAATGCGAAGATCTGTCATCTGTAGCTGCTCCAGTTTTGCTTGTAATAACCGGTATCGAGGAGGAGGAGGAGGAAGAGGAGGATACTGCTGCTGCGGTCAGAGTGAGTTAAAACCGGGATGGAAATTGAATACGAGCCGCTGTCTGAACACATGCGTCCATTATTTCTGCAAGCCAGACTCACTTCAACGTGATGCGCTCTCGTCTACAGACAGCATCCTTCTCTCTCCTCCTCTGTGAGGTGGGCTCATTGAGGCGTTTCTGAGAATACAGTATCACCTGACTATCTACCTGGCATCGGCTTATTAAGAACAGATGATGATGATAGATGAGGATGAAGCGGAGGCTCATCAGGTGGATATGGAGTCGGATTTGGACAGCAGACCTCGCTCATGCAGCTGGACGAACGACTTCTCGTGTGAGGTGAACGCGGATCTGTCGCTTAATCTCTCCATGTTTAAAGTAGATTCGGATCATGTTCCATCACCAGCGTGCAGGAGGAGGAGGATGATGCTGGATGCCGGAGGATTTCACGACTTAACGGGAGCTGCGCTGCGCAAAACCAAGGCATCCTCCCGACGGAACGCGTGGGGAAACCAGTCCTACGCGGAGCTCATCACCCGAGCCATCGAGAGCACACCCGAGAAAAGACTTACCCTGTCTCAGATCTACGACTGGATGGTCCGATATGTGCCCTATTTTAAAGATAAAGGACACAGCAACAGCTCTGCCGGATGGAAGGTAACACATGATACATGCGTGCACACAATGACAATTCACGTTTGTTGGTCAAGTTACACTTAGGCTAAGGTGCTTGACTTGGTGATTTGCTCTAAAAATAGTTAACACTCCACAGCATTTTGTCATAACATTACATGAAATGCAATATATATATATATATATGTGCAGTATTCAATATGTACTGTATAGACATACATAATAATAATACAGTATACGATAAAAATTATGTATGCAGGGTGCATTGGTAAAGAGAGCAAAAGTGTGCTTAAAATATTGTTGTTCACTTATCTGTATTTAGAACCCCATTCCTGAACCTTTTATTAATTTGAGACAGATTAATTTCGGAAAGACTGAGCCTCGTTCTTAACCTCTGGTTATTTCATACAGAGGAAAAAAAGGGCAAAGAGGGGGAAAATGTGGGTGTGGGAAAGAAAGGATGTATGCAAAATGTATAAGTGTAATACAATGTGTATTTTATAATACACATAAAATTGCTAGAGCATTTCTAAGTGGATGATGATGGAGCACAAAGCATTTTAGGAGGGAAACCTCTGCATAATATAATCATGCATTATCAGTTTCCCACTGCTCCAATACTCTGCAATCAGACTGATTCATTCCAAACACTTGATTCATTGTGACACCTTTGTAATTTTCTTTTATTTCAGATTTGAACTTCACACTTTATTAATTTACAGTTACAAGCATCAGATTTCAAGAACAACAATAACAACCAGTATTATTTACTTCACCAGAGTTCTGAAACAACTTAAATGGTCCTTTATTTTCTATTTGGAGAGAGCTGTACACTGTAAAAAAAAATCCGTAAAATTTACGGTAAAAAAACGGCAGCTGTGGTTGCCGGAATTTTACCGTAAAAAATACGGTAGCAACATTTTTTTTACGGTTTTAACTTAAATTTACATATTTCATTAACTGATATAATGTTAATATACCAACCTATTGAAGTACTAAAATTTGTTTTGTACCTTTGTAATACACTGATAACCACCAAATGCAGGTGGTGATGAGAAAGTCACATGATGAACCAAAGCCTGTCACAAGCAGCTTTTAAATAATAACATATATTGAAGGTGCACACAGGGCCGCATTAAGACCGCACTGGGCCCCGGGGCAACGACCGCAAATATAGAATAAATGCATTTGATTGGTAAACCAAATTCAGACTTTACGTTTCAATCTCAAATGGTAATGTATGGAATTTACGGGAAAGCTCAACTAAATAACAGCGCTAATACGTGGGGGGCGTGGTGGCTTTGGTGATCGGCGCTCCAGTCAGTCTACTCCACAGCCAATCACGGGACCCCTCCTTGCTCGGGCCCCCGGGGCTTCAGCCCCGCCTAGCCCAATGGTTAAAACGGCCCTGGGTGCACAGTGTCATTCACACAAACACCAAACACCATCATGGTAACACACATGAAACTGAAATAATGCAATAAACATTCATTTAACAACATTAGGTGTAACACACAACCCTAATATACAAAACTGATAAGACAAAACTAAGAAGAAACATAGTTATTTCAACAAAAAAACATCAAATTTGAAATGTAACGCAGGGAATTCCGGGAATGTCAATTTCCACTTCCAAAAGCGGTATACTACCGTAAAATTAATGTCCAATACATGTAATGTCCAATACAGTTTTTCATATATAGAAGGGGAATTTACTGTTAACCATTTAACAGGTTTTTACTGTAGCATTTTTGCAGTCTTTTACCGTTAAATTCACGGTCATTTTTTACAGTGTAGTCTTTGTTCAGGGGTGTCTCAAAGTTCTGAACTCATTCTATAATTTTAGCTCTTATTTGTTCTATGCACATTATTCTCAAGGTAGAACAAGTACGTGATATATGTGATATATGAAATGTTTGTATAGCTCAATCAAGGATTATGTTGTCTTGCTCAGTGTTAATATCCCTTTGAATAAAAATGTCACTTGCAGACTAATCAGACAAATAAAAAGTGCCTTTAAGTTGGGATGTTCAATGAGAAAGGATTTTCTCTAAGAATTGTAGGGCTGTTTGTTGGGTTACATTTTGTGCAGCTCAAATTGTCTTTTGGCACTACTTCAAATAGAAGCAAGAATTTTTCAAGGTGTAGTTTGTTGTGTTATGCAACTAAGTCCAAATGGCCAGCTATGGTACTAGAGTCTAGTACTTAATAGTATTTGTTGTATTTTGTCAATGTTTCATCCAATAATGATCTTAACAAAAATACTTGAGCGGCATACTGTTGCTGTGGTTACCTCCTCAGACTCAGTTTTGTTCATGAGTTTCTATGTAAAAAAAAAAATGGAATATAACCTTTGTGGGGGTAAGTTCAAACATCCATCCATCCAGTTTCCAAACTTCTTGTTCTATGTAGGATCGCAGGGATCCTGGAGCCCATCCCACAATCATGGGCAATAGTCAGGGACACACCCCGGATGGATTGCTGATCCTATTGAATCCTATTGACAATCATATTTATAGTAAATAATAAAATATTTACTTACCTTCCAACTATTTGTTTTGGCTTAATTGTGAGGAGGAACAATTTGCACCTTGATGTTGTTACACATGAAACAGATAAGTAGACATCAACCGCAAATATTACATATAAAAGTATTGTTTGTCAGAAACACATGTCTTAGATTAACTGTGCTGAACTCTGTCAACAAAGACACATTGGGGATACTATGATAACATTGATACTATTGTTTGCCACTTGGACCGTGCTAGAAAAAGATAGAATGAGTTAGCAGCCTCACAATGGACCCACAGTCTGCTTAGCCCTCAAAGTTCAGGGCAAATGTAAGCCCATGTTATTAAAATGAGCTCTTCAGAGGTGTGTTGAAAGGGAATTAACTGCATTATCTTAGTATCAGCCACTGCCGCAAAAAAAAAAAACTGTTGAGACGCGTCCTGACCCACATGATGAAGGCGATCTTTATGCCTTTCTTAGCTCTAACCTGATGTTGAAAAATGCATATCCTATTGTCAGAAACAATGCAAAACAACTGGAAACTTTAAAGAGGACAGACAAGCATCAAGGGCAGACATTTGATTGTATTCCAATAGTTTATTTGTTCAAATTTCATCAAATCAGTTTTTAAATCATACGATGACCATAGGGTGACCATTTATCTGAAATGAAATCCATGGACAATTCTGCTTTAGCTGTCAGTATATCATTGAAAGTTTTATAGTTATTATTTATTAATAAAAAAAATAATATGATGTTTATATGTTTATGTTTATTATGCCAACCAGTCCCAATGTAGGAATTGTTGACACAGTCCTATTGATTTAAGAGGAAAGTAAAAAACAGAAAAGATAAAAATGTTTATTTTAAATAACTTTCATATATTTTAGATTTATTTTAGTTTTTTTTATAACAGTTTTGTGTTTTTTTTTTAATCAATAATTGAAAAGTTGTCCTGACAGAATGAGTGTGAATCAAAATGACAATCATTTTAGTGACAGCATCCATTTATAAAACAGAAATTAGATTGTTACCCAACCCAGATTTCTCAAAATAGTTTTTAGTATTGTGATGGACACTCAGTCATACAGTCATACTTTCTACATAATTAGCACAGTTGTGAACTGTAGTGCAACTTTCAAATGCACGTAAATGATGCTCTTTCATTCTTTCTTGACTGTCATTCACTCTGTCTGTGGTCTAGTTGAAATTAGTAGATGAAGAGAAGTGATAACATGACTTGAAGCTGCTATAGCAAGCAGCGCCCTCTGTTGCACTCAACAAACCCCACATGACAGAGATGGAGTCTGTAAATTCTTTTAGTCTGTCTTGCCTCATTAGGTATCATTTCACTGTTGTTGAAACAGTACAAAATACCAGGAAAACAGTGATTTTGTGGCACTCTTTTCAATAGCTTTGTGTGAGGAACAGATAGCTTCAATGTGATGACATAAAAAATAATGGCAAAAAAAAAAAACTTATTTTTCTATAAGCTGTCATTACGTGCTGTTTGTCCAGTGTAGTCAGCTTTACTGATTCAAATGACTCTTCTATGAGCTGGTTCTTTTTGGTGAGTCAAAACACAGCTTTTTCTCCTTAATATTTTTGTGGAAACTCAAACTGTGATACACAACCGTTTACTTATGCACTGAGCTGATCAAAAATGACATTTATACTGTTAAAGATTTGTATTTCTAATCAATTCAGATTTTTTTTTTACTTTCAATTTACAAAATACTAATGTATCACAGTTTCCACAAAAAAATTTTACTGTACAGTTTTACTGTAGTTTTATTAAATAAATGCAGACTTGGTGACGAGGATGTACACCCTAGTGAGAAGTAAATATATTAAAATGTATCTGAAATACATTTATTTCATGCTAAGTATACTAAAAATACAATTACAACTTTATGTACTTAATAAAAATACCCTGCAATTGTACTTTTGGTGTACTAAACTGGTATAATTAAAGTCTGCTAAATTTAGTAAATAATGCACTTTACTTGTGCGAAAGTAGTGCTGAAGTCCAACTAAAGATACAGTATACTGAAGTATTTCTGATTGTGCTTAAGTGGAACTATTGAAAGTATACTTAAGGTACACTTAAATCTTGCATTTAAAGACCAGTATTATCCAAAGATCATACAATTCTTATATCCTAATAGTGACATTAAAAAATATGTTTGGCTTAATATTAAGAAAGTAGTACACCAAATAAAGTCTTGAGTGATATGTCAGTAAATATGTTAATAGATTTGAACTATAGCCTACTTAATATGAAATAAATGCATTTTAAATATATTACTTTTCTTTTTTTTTACTTGGAAAATGCTCTCTGAAAGCAGTCTCTGAATGATTTATGTACAAAAACAAGCAAAAAATACTAATAAGCTTTATGATCTAGACTGTCTTTGGCAAAATGCTGGTCTGTTGATGGATGCATAAAAGTGATTGCCTGTCACAACAGAAAATTACTCTCTCCTCATTATTGTCTTTTTTTTTCAAATGTT